AGTGGCCGCTGTTTGCTTTCAGCAGCTCCCATTGGCCTGGAGCAGCAAACTGCAGCCACTGGGTGCCGCGATCGGCCGAACCTGCGGACGCGGCAGGTAAACAAACCGGCCTGGCTGCCAGGGGCTTTCCCTGCACAAGCGGTAGAACAAGTTTGGGAACCACTGCAGTAAACTATAATGCTGTCTTCCAACCCTGCCACATAATTGTACATAGTGACTAGACAGTCAGCTGTGCAGAGGTCTGTTCAAAGCAGCTGAGGAGAAAGGGAGCACAAAAGGTTTACTTTTGCTCTCCCTTAATCTCCAGGGCTGCCAAGATTGTTGTAATTGCCACTGGCTTTCAATGGCTCCCAAGGTTTCGCAGGTCTCAGATCTCTGGAGAGCAGCACCCTCTAGAAAGGATCTAGCATGTTCACACCCACTATTGTCAGGGGGCCAAGAGGACATGGGGTATAGTCAGCTATGCTGGGGGAATCCTTAGATGCCTGCTAAGGGTAGCTTTGTGGCCATTTTCTGACACTCAATTGATGTAAAGAGCCATAGCTTGGGTCAAAATAAGGCCCTTTAATTTTGTTAGTACCTTGCAAAAGTTTTCCTGCTTATTGCCTGCATATAACACATTTGATTTCATATATATAAAAACCCTCTCTATATATAGTTCCTGGTGGGATTTTTTATTTTATTTACTTCATTTTTCTTCTGAGTATAACATCTACCATGTAGCATTCTATGTTTTTAACTAGATGAAGTACCATAGCATGTCCTAGCATATTGTGTTTTGTCTTATAGTTAGATTGTAAGCTTTTTGGGGCAGGGAGTGTCTTTCTGTTCTGTGCTTGTACAGCCCTAGCACAATGGGGTCCTGATCCATGACCAGAGCTTCTAGATGCTAAGATAATACAAAAAATAAGTGAAAAATAATAATATAGTGAAAATCACCTTCCAGAAAATTACACGGTGCAGTGAATTGGTTTTATTGTATATGTAGGTGATGCACCATACACTCTAATGTTAATATTATTGTTTTAGGTATATTTTAACATAATTGGTTTATTTTGGTGTTAACAAACACTACAAAAATAACAGTCAGTCACTTTGTAGGCAAATGAATACTTTTCTCATATAACCAAAATTTAAAACAGTATATTATGAAACTACTTGTAATAACTACTACTGTGTTCTCTTAGGTCCACAATCTACAACACTTTGACCCCCTTCCCAACAAACAAACAAACAAACAAACAAACAAACAAACAAACAAACAGACAAACAGACAAAACCTCCCAACCCCCACAATTTACTTAGATCAAATTTACTTACACCAGAATTAATTAACACAGTTTTCCTTTGATGTAATCTGGAAAATTTATTGCCCTGACCCTGAAATGGACCCATGTGGCTGGACACTCCCACTCAGGTAAAACCACACTGCAGAATCTTGGCCTGTGTCAGGATTAGTTAATTGTTTCTCTGATCAGTTTGAGAAAAGTAACAGTTACTGTTATACCTACAGCAAACAAAAATTAGATATTTTACACTACCTGATGGCAAGCATAACACATAGTGTAATCAATAAGGTCCATGTGCCTGTTGTGATTATTCTGCATGTTGCTACATTTTCTGCAGGTTAGTGTCTGGCTGTTAGTGTCCGTATGTTTTTCTTGTGGCCCTTTTACACCTCCTTAGTGCTGATTTAAGACTTATTGTTCTTAGTTCACAGTAACTGTGATAAAATCAAATTCTTTGCCTGCAAAAGAAGAAAATTGAATAAGGGCATAAAAAGGAAGCTCCACTTGCTATAGAGCACTTTCACGATATCTGGGGCATTCCTAAGGAAAATTAAGCTCATGTGAATTCCTTGTGAAGAAAACAAACTATTCGTTCAATCAGTATTTTGCATGGTCTGTGAGTTGTGCCAGTCAGTGAAGCTGAAAGAAGAAAGCCACTTCTCACATCTATAGATCACTGTCCAGATATCTTGATATTGGATGCTAGCTAGAAAGCTAATTATTATTCTTATTTGTTTTTAATAGCATCCACAATGGGCTATGTGCATCACAGTCACAGAAGTAAACATGGTGTCTACTCTGAATACTTTATATAATAGAAATTATTATTAACTATTATTATTGTTGTCACTCCTAGGAACCTCAGTCAAGGAACAGGGTCCCATTAAGCAAGGCACTATGCAGGCAAATAAAAAAGGCAATTCCCGTCCTGAAGCAGAGCTCTATGTGGCTCAACAGCTTGTATCTCTTACCAACAGAAGTTGATCTATTAAAGACATTATCTATTCCACCTTCTCTCTCTAATATCCTGGGACCCCACAGGGCTACAATAACACTGTATAACTCCTGTCCTGTCAGACACTAGGTGTAAGATGGTTGTAACAGGTGGGCTAAAGAGACAACTAGGGTGAGAGGAGGCAAGAAGGGACGATGAGGTAAGAAAATGAACAGAACTTGGCAGCAAAAATACAAGTCCTTGCTTGCCATTTGTGGTAGATAGATAGATAATAACCAATTGCAACAAGAAAGTGAATGTCTGCATTCAGGTACATAAAAGGTTGTTATAAGGAGGAAGGAGAAAAATGGTTCTCCTTAACCTCCGAGGATAGGACAAGAAGCAATGGGCTGAAATTGCAGCAAGGGCTGTTTAGGTTGGACATTAGGAAAAACTTCCTAACTGTTGTCAGGGTGGTTAAGCACTGGAATAAATTGCCTAGGGAGGTTGTGGAATCTCCATCATTGGGGATTTTTAAGAGCAGGTTGGACAAACACCTGTCAAGGATGCTCTAGATCAGTGGTTCCCAAACTTTAACAGCCCGCGAACCCCGTTCACTAATTTGTGAAATCTCGTGAACCCTCTCCTAAAAATGAATATTTCCAGGGATTTAAGTTTAAATTTCCTCAGTGTGATGGATGCGGTTGCTTTGCTCTGTATAGCTCTTGGAAGTCCGGAACCACTGGAGAAAGATAAAATCTCAGGTCTGATTCAGCATCCGGCACCGCTCTCCCTGGGGTTCGGGCTGCTGGCTCCCCCGCTGACGGGGCAGGGCTCGGGCTGTCTGCCCTGCAACCGGGTCCCACCTGCTGCCTCCAATGCCCGGGGTCCTCTGACCACCATTAGTGACATTTTTCTGGCGAACCCCCTGAAAGGTTCTGGGAACCCCCAGGGGTTCGCGAACCCCGCTTTGGGAACCACTGCTCTGGATAATCGTTAGTCCTGCCATGAGTGCAGGGGACTGGACTAGATGACCTCTCGAGGTAGGGTGACCAGACATCCCGATATTATCGGAACAGTCCCGATTTTAAGACATTTGTCCCGCGTCCCGACCGCACATTGGTCGGGATGCCCTTTGTCCCGATATCGGGGACAGTTCACCGCACGCACCTGAAGTCCTGGGCTGGCGGCACTTCCTGGTGGAGCAGCTCCTGGCGCCCGCCCACCGGCAGGAGCCTGCAGTGCAGCCCCTAGGCACAGAGGCGGAGGGGGGTCTCCGCGTGCTGCACCGGCTTCCTCCTGCCCAATCAGAGCTGCAGGGCGGGGCTTGCAGGTGCCAGCAGCGGGCAGAGAGCCCTCCGCCCCCCCTCCGCCCCAACCCTAGGAGCCAGAGGGACCTGCTGGATGCTTCCTGGGAGCCGCCCCAGGTAAGCATTGCCGGGACTCCCCACCTTGCCCCCCAGCAGGTCCCTCAGGGTGGGGGGTAGGGGGCTCTCTGTGCGCTGCCTGCTGCTCCTGCAAGCCCTGCTCCGTGGCTCCGGCAGCTCCCATTGGCGCTTTTCCCGGCCAATGGGAACCATGGAGCTCGTGCTTGTGGCGGGCGTAGCACGTGGAGACCCCTCGGCCGCCCCTGATCCTAGGAACCAGAGGGACCTGCCATATCCTTCCCAGGAGCAGCCGCCCCAGGTAGGCACTGCTGGGACCCCCCCCCCCCGCCCCCAAATCCCCCCGGGCCCTTGGGGGGGGGGGGGGCGGGACGGGGCGCTGCGGGTTGCTCTCACCTGCAAGCTCCGCTCCGCGGCTCCGGCAGCTCCCATTGGCACTTTTCCCGGCCAACGGGAGCGACGGAGCTCCCACTTGTGGTGGGCGCAGCACGTGGAGAGTCTGGAGACCCCCCCTTGCTGCTCTGACCCTCGGAGCCAGAGATCTCCCAGCAGGGCTGGTGAGTGCAGCCAGGGAAGGGGAAAGGGTGTGATGGAGTGAGTGTCTGGGAGGTGTGTGTGGGGTGCTGGGCTGTGAGGGTGTGGAGGGCACTGGGCTGTGAGGGTGTGGCGGGCGCTGAGCAGTGGGGAAGGTTTGTGTGTTTTGGGGTGCTAGGCAGTGGGGGCCTGTTGGGGGGGTGCTGGGCAGTGGGGGAGATCTGTGTGTGTCAGGGAACTGGGGGTCTGTGTGGGGCATTATTTAGTTGTGGTGGGGGGGCTGTGGGGAAGGGCACAGGGAGGGAGGAGAACTCTGTGTGTGGGGTTCTGTGTGGGTCGCTGGGCAGCTGTGGCTCTCTTCCCCCCCGCCCCCCGCGCTTGCCCAATGTGTCCTGATATTTCACTCTTGCTGTCTGGTCACCCTATCTCGGGGTCCCTTCCAGTCCTACGATTCCATTCGGATGGCTACAGGGAATATTTTCCTTAGCCCATCTATGTCTGCTCTCAGACATCAGTGGGATACAATGTGCAGCAGAGAGCAGGGAAAAGCCGCTGTCCCCGGTGCAAGGTGCTGCCCAGCACACAGCGCCTCACAGGCACCCCCGAGCCCGGCCAGCTGGGTGCACAAGGGTTCCTGGTGGTACATTTCTGCTCCCGCCCTTCAGCCGCTCCCGCCTTCCCAGCGCAGCCGCCCTGCCGGTGACCCGGCCTGGCCCTCGCCAGCAGCCCAGCCGCAGCAGCCTGACCCAGACGCGCCCCCGGCCAGCCCAGCTCTCGCTTCCAGGCGGAACCCGCCTGCGCGGAACTGGCGCGCTCGGCAGTGTGCGCTGCCGGTCGGCGGAGCGAGGACACCACCGGGCTCCTGCCGCCGCCGCCTGCTTCCTCCTCCTGCTGCCGGGCTGAGCGGCGGGGTCGTCGGCAGCGTGACACAAAGCGGTCGGCTCCGGTGTCCTCTTCATGGCAGGGAACTTCTGGCAGAGCTCGCACTAGTGAGTGGCCCCCGCCCGGCCCGGGCCGCCTGGGGAGGAGGGTGGCGCTGGGGCTCCTGGGGCTCAGTGCTGGGGGGTGATATGTGCAGGGGCTTGGGCAAGCTGTCCGTGTGGCCAGGGTGCATCTGGGAGAGTTGGGCTTGGGCTAGGGGTTGTGGAGACACAACAGTGTGACCTCGGGCTTTTAAATCCATCCAGACGCTCTTTAACCCGGTCCTTTGCCCAGTCACTTCAGTTTGCTCCCCCCCCCCCCTTGTTTCCACCATAGAAAACTTATTAAACTTGTGTGGAAAGATGTAAGGTGGGGGTGGGGGAGCGCTTTACTCGATTTGGACAATGCCAATAATTTATGAATAATAATTAAAATACCTGTTCGTTCCTCCCCCCCCCCCCCCCCCCCGGGTTTTGACACATCCAAATTGTGGGCCAGAGAATGTGTTCTGGAAGACTGACTTTTTTTTTAAACAGACAAAACAAAATTAAAAAATAAGAACATTTTCCAAGCAGTTGAGAAGGAAATCTAGAGCATGAAATTAAGACTGGTGACAGAAGGAAGAATAGTGTGATGGGAGGAAAATATCTTTTAGCAAAATCAGGGATGTGACCATATAAAATAGGGTTCATAAGGGACTTATGATAGATGATTCATTGCTAATTAAAATGACTCAAATGGAAATATTTATAAACAAAAATAAACATGTTTTAGTAGCTAGAGCATATTGGTATCTAAATATTTAAAACAGCTGATCAGTTTCTCTGGCCTAGTAGCAATTTTCATGACACCTGCAGTTTAGCCATTTCCTTTCTCTTCTATTTTGTTCCTTGCTCACTTGGCTACCCTGATTATAATAATGAGGAATGTTCATGTACACACAAACTATTTACCAGTAAATCCCCAACTTTCCATCCCACTCCGGTGTATGTATACATAGGTGAACTTTCCATATTTATACATAGGATAAGCATGCAAAACTCATGACTGGACAAGCTCAAGAAGTATGATTATATGTAGGAAGTGGAAGTGGTTCAGTTAGACTCACACAGGTTAAGCATATGTGCAAATATTTGTATGAAGCATTTGAGTAATCTCAATTGAAGTAGTCAGATTAAAAATGTTGGCAACTAATTAAAAAAGGTAATTGTAGCATCAGTCAGTGGAAGGCCAACGTTTTAAACATTTTTTTTTAAGCAGTTGTATATTGAGGTTGCAGAAGAAAAGTCACAAATGCTCCAGGAATGACTGTGTAAATACTCCCTTCATGTCTAATAATATTCTGCACCAAGGAGAGAGAGAGAGAGGAATTGAAAAGCCTTTCCTGGAAGGAAAGGCCCCTTGAACTAAATATGTAAGGTAGCCAAGAAGAACTGATAGAGTATCTCATTATTATACAAGAATGAAGAATGCAGATCAGTCTAGATTTGAGTATAAAGAATTTTAAAAATCATATTTGATAAAAATATAGAATAAAACATATGAATAACTGACAATTTATCAGTTTTATAAACATTTCAGCAACAATATTAAAAGAAATCCTCTTACTTTTTGTGAGTATATTTCTATAAGCCTGACTTTAATGACCCTAATGAATATTAATTTCACAAGCGTGCCTCTAGTATTGCAAGACTTTATTAAAGGGAACTGTCAGCCTTTTTGGTCCCCAAATGTAATCTGCAATCTAGTTGTGCTAGAGACACTACATAATGTTTGTGCATAGTTTTTAAAAATTGCTTTCCCCCCCGACTAGTTTACAATGGATTTTGGATAAACAGGATTTGTTGAAGGAACGCCAAAAGGACTTGAAATTTCTGACAGAAGAAGAATATTGGAAACTGCAGATATTCTTTACTAATGGTAAAATGGTTTTATTTTTAGCTTAGCTGTTTAACTCATACTGTATTTACCATGTCTGAATTCACGTTTCAGTTGCTTAGAATATCTCATTAACATCTTATATACATTCTCTCAATCTATTTAACATGTAACTTTAAGTAATCTTTTATATATTATTCAGATTAGCTGTATTCTTAGTTGTATGAGGGGTTTTATAGATAAACTAGCTGCATATGTATTTCTCAGTTATGTTATGAAATTTCAATAGGCTTCCTCCTTATTTTCAGGATGTTTCTGTAAAGACAAAAGGAGGGAGGGCAAAAAAAAGAAGTAAATTTATATGTAGAGGTTTAAAGGTTAGAATGTGGAGTTATTTAGGGCTTGATCCTGCAAGGTGCTGAACACTCTGGCCCTGACATTTAGGCACCGGAATAGTCCTGTTGGAGCAATGAGATACCTTTAAAAATCTGAGTAATGTAGGTGTTGCTGTACTCAGCATTGCAATGCTTAAGTCTCATTTTTAGAAGTGATTTAGGGCACATCCACACTGCAGAAAAAAAAAAACAAAAAATGTAGCAGTGAGTCTCAGACCCGAGTCAACCGATTTGGGCTTGTGCTATGGGGCTGACAATAGCAGTGTCGATGTTCCCGCTCAGGTTGGAGCCCGGGCTCTGAGATCCACCCCTGTCACCAAGTCAGTTGACCCAGGGTCTGAGGCTCGCTGCTGGAGAGTTCCCCTGCCCGCCCCTCCCGCCCCCCGCGTTAATGTACCCTAAGTCACTTTTGAAAATGAAACTAGGCTCCTAAATCAGTTAGGCATTGCAATGCTGAGCACAGCAATGCCTAAATAGCTTTAAAAATCTGGGCTTAAGTGCTTTGTGTCATAAGGATCAGAACATTTAAGTATCTTGCAGGACCAAGCCCTAAGGGAGAAAAGACTCTTAAACTAGCACTTTGTGCAAAGTGCGATTTAAATACTCTCTCTGAACCATCCTGTAAAGTAGGTGACATAGTATTTTCTCAGTTGTCTGGGAGGAGAAACCGAGGCAGAAAGGTTAGTGACTCTTTTGAGGGCACTTACAGAGTTCACTCTAGTTTGCCATCCCCCACTTCTATGCTCGGATGCATTTCTCTTTGGCATAGCTATTCTTATTTACAATTACCAAGGTTAAAGTACTCTGCAAAATCTGATCACAAATAATTAGGCTGTATTAACACTTATATAGTACAAAATAACTGAGTGAGTACTCGTGTTTATCTAATGGATTAACTATCCTAAAGTTCCTTGAGGACAAAGTAAAATAATATTCAGATTTTGTAATGCAACAAGATTTTAAAGGATACTGATAAGTTAACAATCACATATTTCCTTATTTATGTTACTCAGATTACTTTAGATTTATGAACACTAAAATATTTTAAAAATCTAACTTTTTCCATTGATGTTGCTTTTAGTTCTTCACTCCTCTTGGACAAAGAAAACAATAGACTAGTTTGTTTCATTTTCTGGTGAAGATTACCAGCTGATTAAATGAATGACACAGTCACTTGTTTTGTTACATACTTTTTAAGTTAGGTTTTTTTAATCAGCTCTTACCATTGTCCAAAGAAGGACGTTTGTGACCACTCTCATCTGTAAGATTGTGGATGTTTACTAGAATTTATGCTCCCCTTGGAGTAGATTAGTTTCCTTTTCTGGTTTTCATGCACTAGCACAAAAGCTATGTTTGGGTTACAAGCTATTAAGAAAAATATTTCAACTTTAAACAGAAATGTTTTCATTTTTAAATCAAGTTTTTGAAATGGCTGTGAAAACACTTGTTAATATTAGATTTTTGTGAAACATTGGAGCTAAACAACCTAATAATTTTCTTTAAAATACTTCATTTGAAAGCTTCCATTTATAAGGTCTCTTTAGGCACTTATCAGTTAACTTTTTTTTTTTTTTCCTTTTCTAAATCTCACTTGATTTCTCTTTCTGGTCACATATGGCCCAACCATTCCCTCCTGCAGAAAAACCCCATGGGAAGGGAAAATGAACGTATAAAATTCTGTGTGGTTTACTGTGTGGATTTTTCTGATGCATCATCCCCAGTGTGAGGACAGCAGCATGTAGTCAGATCAGGGGACACAATACTGTAATTGTGCAAATGTCCCAAGATTAATTGGGAAGCTTGTGGATATTGAGGCATTTATGCAGAGACATTTCATGTTGCAGCTTGGCCCCTTCCCTGGCAGCATTGCTTATTTATGAGCCTTGATGCCATTGGCAGCCTGGCCTTAGCTGTGCAGTACGCGGGCTCTCTCCCTGAGGGGGTGAGGAGGTCACAAGTCAGAGATAAGGACTTAGTCTTGCTTCGAGTAATGTTAATACATACCATAATTTTTTCTCTGGAAAATCTGCTGGGTGGCCAAGGAATAAGGCTATTAAGAGTGACTTTCTCTCAGGTTCATCCCACCTCCAGCCAGCCATGCCCCCAGTAACTTCACATGACTCAACTGGGAGGCGTTTGTGTCCTTGAATGTGGGGAGAGAGCTTCTGTTGTCTGTGGGAGACAGTGGACAATGGTGCATGAGCAAACTAGACAATTACAAGTGCTTATATGCTTCTAATACAGTGTAAGATTCTGGCAATTTTTAATAATTTAAACTGCTTGCTTTCCCCATCAATATACCACTGTTTGGTTTTTAATGTACATACTTAAAATATATTTTGTGTAAACTAAATGACTTAACTTGAGATCTCTGTATAAAAGGCACGATACTGATATGGCATTGCCATGCTCAAACTAACAGCAGAGAGGGAAATACAGGAAAAATAGCATGTAACAAAATGTAATGTTTCATTCCATCATTCTCTAATCCCACCTCTACTCTGTATCCCAGACTGACGCATCTAATGTGCTTGGCACCTTTCCTTTGCCTGGGAGGCCAAATGAGCTACCTGCACAGCTGACACCAGGGCTGCTTCTTGGCCAACTGGCAGAGAACACTTGTGATGGAGCAGCTGACTACTTCCTCTGGTCTCCCACCCCCTTTCCCTAGACTAAACATGTCACTTCTCCAACACCTGCTGCCTCTGCCAAATCCAGTGACCATGTTTATGTTGGCAGCTTTATTCAATTTACAATGCGTTTAAAAGTCATAGGTTTTAATTTAAAACATTTGAATTTAAAACATTTTAGACTGTAAAGTGGACACCCACATTTTACCCAGTGGAGGGCTGTGTAGTATGTGGTCACCTTCCCAAGGGACATGCGTAATTTGTACATAATGGAGCAAATTGTCATCCTCATCTTCAAGAAAAGGTCCAGTCCACATACACCACTGGCGGCAGCATGCATCCACTGCTATCAAAATGGCTTGCTGAAACATGGTCTCTGTTGAGCCAAACCTCTGAATTAAAAATGATGGCTGTCTGACAACACTTTAGAACCCTTTCAATTCAGTTTCTCCCATGGGCCCCATGTAGAGTGTCCAATAAATGGTACCAAATCATATTAAAATGCAACTTAAATATTTTGTTCATTTTTTTTAAGTCATCCAGGCTTTAGGTGAACATCTTAAATTAAGACAACAAGTTATTGCCACTGCTACAGTCTACTTCAAGAGATTCTATGCCAGGTAGGACTGTTTACTATGATGGTACAAGAATAAAGCATTTGTTAGGCAGATTTTGATAGCCCTTTAAAAGTGCAATAATAAAATAAAAATACCATTTTTGTTTGTGAATGGTGTAAAGCTTTTATGTCGATAATGTTAACTTAAACAGTTTTTACTTTTCCAAAGGAAGTGTGGTGCTCTTGATAGATTAATCTTTCTACATGTGTAAAACGATATATAATTTTGTTATAACATTTCAGATATTCCCTAAAAAGTATAGATCCAGTATTAATGGCTCCTACGTGTGTGTTTTTGGCATCCAAAGTAGAGGTATGATGTATTATAATTTTCTAATGTAAAAGTATATGATATATTGGGGAGATGAAACATTTAGGGTTCTTAAGATATTTTTTGTTGTTTCCATGATTTGGGGGTTCAGACCTCTTTTTCTATGGATTTCCATATTGCTTTAGCATCAGAGAGAAAAGACCCAATAGCTGCTATTATGTAGTACTTCATCTTTCACAATGTTGCCTGAGTTACTGACCTGTTTTCTCAACCCTAAAAGATCTTGGAGACTTTGACAGAGTGCTTAGATGATATTTTAATGTAGTTATTTATATATCTTAAATTGTGCTGCTGTTCTGTAAAATCTCCATTTTTATGTGGTTCAGTTTTGTCTTTTATGTATAGAAACTGGTTAAATGTTTACTCCAATTTTCAAATATAACTGATATTCTACTGTGTTTTTCACTGTATATGGGAAGGGATCTCCAGAATTTACCACACTTGCTTTTTTTAATTTCAATTGTAAATGCTGTAGCTATGATGTTTATTTTGAGAAAAGTGTGCGTAGTTGGATGGCAAAGGATATTGGTAAGGAGGAACCAGTCTTTCCAGCTGAAGCTCCCTGACTTTAGTATGGCTAGGGTCAGCAATGCCTGAGATTTGTTATAATCTGGAGGCTGTTCATGGCCCTTTGTGAAATAAAATGGTCTCAGGTCATTCTTTGATAGGTGTCCGCAACTATACCTGCAACTGACAGACTTGTCATACAAGGGAATTTTACACACACACAAAATCTGCTGATGTTACAGCTGGTTCAGCTGAACCCTTGTTAGCACTAGTGGAAGTCTTGGTGTAGATGAAGCTTTGGCAGCATCCTGTGTGTGTGCAGTTTCTTTTTATCATTGTGTTAATTTAATCTGCTGAAAATGGCAGACAGAAATAATAGATACACAGTTTTAATTTACACAGTATTGAAAACACTGGGTGCCACCAAAGCCTTGTCTATACTTGGACTCCCACTGGTGTTAAGAGAGCAGCTGAACTGGTGTTAGCACTGGTGGGAATTTTTCTGTAAAATTACCTGATGTAAATAAGGCCCTGTCTTCTCGGCTAATACTGCCAACTATAATGCATGGAGACTGAGCTACCCTTGAAACATTAGCAGTGGCTTTCTAGAACAGGGTTTCCTCTCAAACAAGATTGAGATGTATTGGTAGTGGGATGCTGAAGCTTGCAGTATGACTGCCTATTCTGTATGGGTACTATAAACAAATTCAGTTTTGTGAATCTGACATTTCTGAGTATTAAATGTTTGTTTCTATTAATTTTTAATGAGAACAGTGGAGTAATTATTAAATGAAAAAGTAACCTCTGTCGTGGTATAGCTTTACTTAAATAATTAACTCATTCTGATCACCTAAACAGAAATTTCATAGGGAAGAAAATATTTAGTTAAAATACAATGTAAAAAAAAACTCTAGGAAGAAAGCCCAGTGCTTTTAAACTGATAAATAGTGTGATCAAATGATATTTCAGCTAGTTCAATACTAACTGGGTCACCTCATTTACCGCTCTTCTTTGCTCAGGAATTTGGTGTGGTCTCAAACACAAGGTTGATTTCTGCTGCTACTTCTGTATGTAAGTGTAAATGATGTATTTGTTATACTATATTAAGGAGGCTATTTTCAGGGGAGAGGAGATGTTCACTTTGTTAAGAAATAGTTTCTTATCAAATCATGAGGGATTTTTAACCTTGCTCCATAAGGGCAATTCATTTACATCATTTGTGCTTTTAGGGGAAAAGACACCTGTTTTAAGTGTGTATGTGGAAGAAAAGATCCTTTCTGTGTACCATTCTACACTGGTATCAATTCTGGTGGGAACATATCAGTCAAATCACAACTGAAAATAAGGCGCCATGATGATTATCCTAAATAAAGAAACCCTGAAAATCAGCTCTAGATTTCAATTCAAGCAACGGTGTAAATCAGAAGTGTTGGGCCTTATTTGTCCTTTTTATCATGATTAGCTTTCGTAGAACTACTGCTCTGTTTGAGATTTTATTTTCATTTTAAAAATAAAAGATCTTCAGATTAGAATCCTAAAGTTTGTAGAATCCTATATTTTGACATTTGGAAAAAGACTAAGGTGGTATATGATATGATCTTATAAGGACTGACTTAAGTTAATGGGAAAAATATTTATACAGAATTCTGTGACTAAAAATACATCAGTACTGCAGTTAGTGGTAGGTTTGCCATTTTACATTAAAATCTTATCAAGAGTGCAGATTTGTGTGATAACTTTGTGCATCAATGAGGAAAGCAGATATGTATTGGATAAAGATAAAGGAGTCTAAATTTGATGTTAGTTTGCAGGAATCTTGCTTTTTTTAGAAATTCCCCTGCATCAGAATCCCATAGAGAAATGTCCTCTGTAGTGCTTTAAAAACAGAATACTCCACTGCACATGGGAGCACACATTGAGTGTGAGGACAATGCACAGGTGGCTTTTTTTTTTTTAACATCACTTTTGTATGTCTGTCTTCTGCCTGTGCCTCTGTTAGCAAAGCTTCTTCAGCAGCACAGGTTCAGCTGGTTGGTAGAGGACTTTGGAGAGGAGGGGAAAAAAGAATGAGTGGAAGAAATAGGAGATGCATAAAAGGAAACTAACAAAAAGGAAGACCTGCTAGTTAATTGAGGCAGTTTGGTCCTTTGCACCTTGCGCAGTGGCTAGAAGCACCGAGGAGGCAGTGTACACTTCTCCTTGGGGAGAAGGCACCTTAAATTGATCTCTAGCAACCTCTTCACTCTACCCCTGCAGTTGAGTGCAGGAAGAGCTCAATGGAGAGGTGGCTCCAGCATGCTTTGAAAATCATATCTTTTTCCCACAACTCTTCCAAAAAATTGGGATTCTTTTACCCTGACTTGCCTGAAAAAGTGTGGTGAGGAGACCTTTTCTGCTCAACTTCAGAGTCAATTAAAGAGCCATGATGAAAGGACTGTCCACTGATGGTGAACTGTAGTCTTGTTTCTGTTTGACACAGAGCAGTAACCTGCAACCGAGTCTATTCCTAAAACTTGGCTTGGTCAAGCTATAGTCTCCTCCACTTCTAATGCTGTTTTTCTTTGAGGCAGTGGTATACACAGGGTTCTCTTTTTAAAATTATTATAGAATTGTATTGTTTACATTAGTATTTGGCTTCTTTGCATTGTATGTTGTTTCTGGTGTAAATTAAAAACAAGTAAATGAAGTTGCAGTAGTTTTCTGAATAAATAGTCCACATAATCATTGAGCAGTTCATTATTGTTTTTAATCTATCAAACAACTCAAAATTAAAATTACTCTCTTAATAGATCCTCCTCCCACTGACGTCAATGGTGTAGTGACTTCAGCCAGAATCAAGCCCTAAATTACTCTCTCTCAGTATTACAGGGAACACTGTCTGCTCAGAAAATGTTAAATGTTGTCCATTGTGTCCAGAGGGGGAGCTTCTAAAATAGCTTTAAAAATGCATGATCTGACAGAACTGACAGTCTTTATTCAAATAATACTTCACCTTTCAGGAATTAAACAACTGAGTTATACAATTGAGTTAATTCTCCTCTTCCAAGTAGGATTGTTCTTTATGTATAGCAGTAGATGGTTAGAGGTCAAATAAGAGGGTTTGAGGCTCTACATACTGATGAACTAATAGAAATAAGTAAAGAAGAATATTTGATTTAATTTTGTCATTATTTTTAATATACCTCTCTCTTTTTACTACAGTGAAAACTAGGTTTTCTTATGCCTTTCCGAAGGAGTTTCCTTATAGGATGAATCATGTAAGTATGATCTAACTCTAACAAATAAATACATAGACAAGCATGTGTGAGCAGGAATAAATTGTATGTTCTTCTTTAAGTGCTTGCTCATGTCCATTCAACTTAGGTGTGTGTGCTTGCCACATGCACCGGTGCTGGAAGTTTTACTGCTGAGGGAAAAACTCCCAGCACCGGTTCATGTGGCGAGCACACACACCTAAGTTGAAAGGGCATGAGCAACACATCTTGAAGAACACCAGTTACGGAAAAGATAACTGTCTTTTCTTACAGGTGGAACAGCTCTGTATCATTAATAGGGTTCTACCAAATTCAAGGCCATGAAAAACGTGTCACAGACCATGAAATCTGGTCTTCTGTGTGCTTTTACCCTTTACTATACAGATTTCACGGGAAAGACCAGCATTTCTCAAATTGGGGGTCCTGATCCAAAGGGGAGTTGCAGGGGGGTCGCAAGGTTATTTTAGGGAGGTTGTGGTATTGCCATCCTTACTTCTGCCTTCAGAACTGGGCGGCCAGAGAGTGGCAGCTGTTCACTGGGTGCCCAGCTCTGAAGGCGGCGCCCCCACCCCAGCAGCAGCACAGAAGTCAGGGTGGCAATACCATACCATGCCACCCTTACTTCTGCATTGCTGCCTTCAGAGCTGGGTGGCCAGAGAGTGGTGGCTGCTTACTGTGGGCGCAGCTCTGCAGGCAGCAGTGCAGAAGTAAGGATGGCACTACCATACCACAACTTCTGCGCTGCTGCTGGTGGTGGCTCTGCCTTCAGATCTGGGCTCTCACTGAACAGCCACTGCTCTCCAGCTGCCCAGCTCTGAAGGCAGCGCTGCCGCCAGCAGCAATGCAGAAGTAGGGGTAGTGGTACCGCACCCCCCCCCCCCCACACACACACACACACCATGACCTTGCCTCCCTCCTCCCCCACCAACTCCTTTTTGGGTCAGGACCCCAACAATTGCAACACTGTGAAATTTCAGATTTCAATAGCTGAAATCATTAAATTTAAAAATTTTTAAATCCTATGACCGTGAAATTGACCAAAATGGACCATGAATTTGGTAGGACCCTAGTCATTAATTTAGTGACCTGACTTGTGCCATTCTGGCTCTGCATGAATATTTAGCTCCTTTGCCTTTTTATTTAATTCATATGGCTACAACACTGTGACTGTTTTATAAATTTAATACATTGTACTATTTTGTAACAAGAGGCAATTAAATCTCAATTTGGGGCCCAACTGAGCAAAAATTGCACCAGGCAGTCCTTTGGAAACAAGTTTTTTTTCAGGTCTTCCATGGAAAAGTAAGTCCTATTCTTTGCTAAACAATTTCTAAGCAATATAGTTTCACTGTTATTTCAAAGTATTCACAATTAACTTTGGATTGATTGTAGGGAAATTTTCTTTGGGTAACCCACATCCATGCTTGCAGTTTCTTTATGAAAGAGTTACTTGTTGTATCACCTACTTTCCTTAAATTAGTAGAAAGAAATATTATAAAGGGAATAGAGAAATAAAGTGGGACTGAATAAAATAGCAGTAATTATACAGCAGTTGGTTACCAAGTACACTGCTCCAGGGTAGATCAAAGTAATTCCAGTTCCTGGGATACTCACCAGGCCTACACATGGGAACAGTTGGCTCATGTTAAGGGTTTTTTATTTTTGTCCCCGATATTTAATCTGTAGTAAAAATCTGTCCATTTTTCTACAACTCTTATTTAGAGTTAAGAAATTTCCAAGTGTTTTGAAGGCAAGATCTTTGGTAATGCAGCCTCACAATGATGAGGGGATTGGTGCAGATTTTATTAATGTAATATATTTTTTTCAAATTTACTTCCTTTTAGCTTTTACTATTATATTCCCAAAGGCCAAGCATGTCTCCTTACACTCTTGGTAACTGTGATATATAATAAGATACTACTAAATTCTAATCTCAATATATTTTTTCATTTTCATTTGTACGGTTCTCCAAAAGAGCTGGCCAGCCCAATGCTATATATTGATTCTTCTTTAAATCTTGATATAGATCCCTGGGGCAATGCTGTGCTGCTATTTTAGGGTCAAACTCAAAGCCACATAAAAGTATAATATTGACCAGCACTGCTATTCTGGTTCTTGTTGAGTCAGCATTTAGTTTATAGAATTGTATGATACATCAAGGTGTGGTACATGGAACCGATACCACAGGAAACTTCAGCATACCCAATCTCTTAGTAGATACCTCTGAAATTACTTATTGGTAATGAAATATGTGATTGGAGGCTGGTAACTGACATTCCTACTCGCCACATAATTGTATTCGAAATGTTAAATGTCTTCTAGTTTAGTGTAACACAGTGCCATCATTATAGTTCATAGACTTTCTTAATATACAGGAAAATATTGCTTGCTTTAACTGAACAAATGCAGTCTAGTCCCCTTCTTGTGGTGCTAAACCATCATCCTGAGTCTTGAATATGAGATATCTTGTCTTGATGTCTATAATTTGACAGAATATTTTAGTAACATTTTATATTCTAATATCCTATGCATCTGTCAATATGCCAGATATCCCTTCTATTTCATTTCAGTCTTTGCTGTAACAGTAGAGAAACTAAACCTACAAAGGCGCAAATGCCCTCAACTGTTTTTAACCTCCAATGAAGTTGGGGGCACTCAACCCCTTGAAAGATCCGGCCCCACATGAACAAAGGCATAAGTACTGTAAATGAAATAGTCTACAGAACATATTCATATAACAGTTAAATGAAAATACTTACGTACATAGCAGTGACAGAAAAAAACTGTCCTTAGAAGTGGAGTGGTTATTAAAATGACGAGACAGTTGACTAACTAAAGATGTTTTCTGTTGAGATATTTCTTAATTGGTTTGTAGTATTTCTATAAAAGATATTTTGGAATTGGTGAAAGCTCTTGGGAATGACTGGGGTTTCTTGTGCAAATCGTAGTATATGGAAATGCTTATATGTAGAAAAATGTATTGGTCTGGATACTGATTAACCCTTTACTCTCTTTCCTGTTATGAGAAAATTGTTGCTTAATTATATTTTTAATTCTTTGCAGATATTAGAATGTGAATTCTATCTTTTAGAATTAATGGTAGGTGTCTTTCTTTCTCTTACTACCACATTAGTTTATTTTTACCTTGCAAGAATGTTCTGGATTCTGTACATATGAAATAATATGTATGGAGCTGCCATTTGTTTTTTCAACCTGAGTTTCATTGTTGAGGTTCTTATTGTCCCCTTTTCTCAATTAACTTGTGTTTTCAAATATATGGAGGTTAGCGACTCCCTGTATTTAGGTTGCTTACCATTTTGCACTGTAAAGATTCTAGTGATCATTTTTGAAAAACTCGAATACAGTACTTCCATTATGTGCAGAAGGACTCTGAAATTTAACAGGCTGAAGACCATAGGGTCAGAGATAGAGATGTATCTTTTGTACCAAGAAATTCTGTTCAGGTTTGGCAGAGAGAAACTTTTGAAAGTCACTATTTTCCTTTCAGCAAAACTTTGGCAGCATGCCAAAATAATAACTGAATGTGAACATTCAAATTCTCACAGTGCAAATCTGAAGATAAATTCATTAATATTTGTGAAGCATTCAGATATTAGAATGATTAGTGCTCTAGAAAATACCACAAGGAAATTAATAATTCTGTATTCATTGCAGGGGTTGGATGGTGTCCTTTTAAGACATGGCCACATGTTGATAATGAAGATAAAAATAAATATTGAACATCTGCCTCATTCCCTGAACATTGTCCATCTTGTGCACTGAATGAGGCAGAGGTCCTGTGGAACAGTACAATCATGTAGTTAAATATTTAGTGTTCAAATAGTATGTGATCATGTAACTAGAGACTGTAGTATGATGCAGTGCAGGAGGCTGAATTAAGGTTGCATAGGGAACCTAAAATCTGACATTTCCTAACTTTTGAATGCCTACTCTACAACCTAAATAATGTTATTTTAACACAGGTTTTTAAATATGTAATTGTATACATTTGTAATGTTGCCACTACCTGTATCCAGTACTATAAAGCACTTAAATGTACCAAATACAGGTGTGCAGTTCTTGGAATTGCCCAAATACTAAATAATTTATTTAGTGTCTACATCTTCAGAGCATCACGCCAATATTTAGTTAACTTGACTCTTTGTTAGGGTTGTTGTTGGGATTATCTTAATTTTTATAGTGGAGGAAGTGAAACGGAGGCAGGGAGGTTAAGTGACTTGTCCCAGGCTGCAGAGGGAGTCAGCTCAGATAACTAGACTACACTTCACATAACTAGTACCAGAAAGAGGAGCCTTTTTAAATGCATGATAAGGATATAAAACATAGGTTAATTTTTGTAAATATGGAAAAACAAATAGTTGAAGGTACTGCAGCAATGAAATGTCCCAAATTCCCTGTATTTGACTTTCGGTGTTTTTGTAAAAGGAGTAATATTTCTTTTGTTGAGAAAAAGGTGTTTTGAATATCGGTATCCTGTGCTGTACTTAGGAACAGTCTCTGATCTTGATAATTAATCAGACATCAATTGCAACTGACTTTATTTACAGAAAGTTACTTTTTGTGACAATTAACATTTCCCCCCTGAAGCTGTACAGGCAATATTTGATTTCAGCTTTGTGTGTAGCGCACATTCACTGACACAGCCCTCCAGGGTTGCATACCTATAGTTAACTATTGTTGGGAGGCGAGGGGGGTCTTTGTTCTTCCTTGTACACTCCAACCTTAAGAGTAAGGAAGAAAATTCAGAGCTGTGTAGACTTTTAAAACCAGTGTCAGTTATTCTGGCAAGCTTCTCATGTATGGTATTATTTAGTGACAGACTGTTTTCTGGCAGCGTTTTGAATTTTCAGTTGGGAATTACGGGTTTGTAGGCAAATAAGGTTTCAGTGTGCTGCAGATGTGGCACTTTGCCTCTCTAAGGGAAAAGAAAAGGACATTGACAGACTGGCAATCAGTCTATATAATGGTATTTTAGGAGAGTGCTTCCCTCATTATCCCAGAATTAGGGTGTCATGATGCTAAAATATATGAAACTGAAAGGGAAAATAAAGGAAAAAAATCCTGATTGTTAAATCAACATTTATAATGCAAACTGATGACAGTGTATTTTCTATTATAATTTGATTTTTTTAAACTTGTTTCTAGGATTGCTGTTTGATAGTGTATCATCCTTATAGACCTTTGCTCCAATATGTGCAGGATATGGGCCAAGAAGACATGCTGCTACCCCTCGCATGGTAATGAAGACAAAGGTTAATACTAGTGCATCCTTTCAGTAGGAAAGCTAACTTGAAAAAAATAGAAAACTTCAGAGATGGTCAAGTACAAGTTGGTTTGGCCAGGTCTAAACACAAAGTGGCAGCAATTTATTGATGTAAATGTGTCTACATAGGGGTTGACAGTGGTGTAACTATTCTGTTTTTAAACTGATTTTAAACTTGTGTGTAGACCAGAACTAGTAGCACAGTGCCTGCCCTGCTAAATAATGAACATTGAATAGAGATGCTCTTTCCCTGCTAATGTGAAAGCTTTTTGTTGTACTTTGTCATAGTAGAATGTCAGAAGTAGTATACAGTTGATCTGCTCTTTTAGATCAGTGATTTTCAAACTTTTTAGGCTGCGTACCCCTTTCCAAATAATGTCGTGTATACAAAGTGCCCCCATCTGAGATAGGCAGATTCTATGTGTGTATGTGTGGGTGGGTGGGTCACGGGCAGAAATCTGGAATGGCACTCCATTTAGCAATAGCTTCTAGAGGATTTCCAACTGAGGTGTGTGCACCCCCCCTCCCCCACAGAGGCCTGGAGGAACATTCAGGGGGGTGAGTAATGACGCCAGGTGGCTTGGGCCAGCCCTGCGCGGTGGGGCTCGGGGAGGGAATGCCACCTCCACCCCTGACTCACCTCAGCAGGCCACCCACCTGTCTGGATTGGGGTGGGGGATGCACCTAAAAATGGTAACTCAAAAGCGGGGCTCAACTCCTTGCAACCTCCCCCTGCCCCACACAGGCTGGGTGGCCCGCTGAGATGAGTCAGGGGTGGAGGTGGCACTCCCTCCTCAAGCCCATCCATGAGGCGCTGGCCCAAGTCGCCTGGTGTTGCCACTCGCCCTCCCTGAGAACTTTCCTCAGTGTCCCCCATTAGGGGTACGATCCCCATAGTTTGAAAACTTCCGTATTACATAAAATGCATTGTGCACCATTACAGGATTTTTCTCGCGTACCCCCTGATGAGAGCTTGCGTACCCCTAGAGATATGCGTACCCCAGTTTGAAAACCACTGTTTAGATTAACAAAGCTTTGTTTTTAAAATAAAAATATGCAATAAAAAATTTAGCCTATGCCACTCTGGACTGTCTAGTAGAAGCCAAGAGCTCCTGAATTATAACTTAAACTCAGACATGGACTCCCTCTGTAGCTTTTTTGCCCTTGTTTCCTCCTCCATAAAATGAGGATTATAATACTTCACAGGAAAGCTGTGAGGATTGGTTGATGTTGACAATTTTATGATGAATCTTCAAAATACTTTGCAAAGCAACATTTTATTAGGAAGCAAAATATACTTCTAAGTAGTGCTTAGAAGCAAACCATTACTATGGTCACCTGGGAATGAATCAAAAGATTCAAGATGAGACGTGTGTGTACATGGATACAGATATTCATGATTTCCCCCACCTTTATTTCTGACTGCCTTAATGTAAAAAAAAAAAAAGTCCTCTTAACTTTTAAAATAAAAACGGATGGTGACTTCTGAAGTAAAATGAGAATAAAGGTGAACAACAGGGTGTTTATCTACTACTTTTGTTTGCACAGGAGGATAGTGAATGACACATATAGAACTGATCTTTGTCTACTGTACCCTCCCTTCATGATAGCCCTAGGTAGGTAACAAGTTCAACTATTTCACTGTATCTGAATGGTTTCATCTTGCGTAGTGTTCCATGAATGGGCATTTCTTAGCAAATCCACTGTATTAAAGAATGTTGATTTGTTATCCCCACCATCTCCTTCAATTAGCACATCAGATGTTATTGACCGTGCAGTCATATGGCTTGAAACTCTAGCAAGAAACCGGAAAGCTTGATTCTGAGCTTAATGCTTGAAAACTATGACTTGGAAGTGTTGTAGAATAGACAGTGGTAAAGGGAGGCAGAAACACTCAGAATTATAAAGAAGGAAATAATAGTAGAAAACGTATTCTGAAAATTATTTTCATTTACAAACATCTGTTCTTGTTACAATAAACAAACTAATCTTTGTTCAGTAGACATGTCCCTACACTTACTTTACTTTGCAGCTTGCCTACATGTGGCCTGTGTTGTCCAGCAGAAGGATGCAAGGCAGTGGTTTGCTGAGTTGTCTGTTGATATGGAGAAGGTATTTTTTTTCTTTCTTGATACATACTGACCAGAAAGATATGTCATTAATATTATAAATTGATATTTTGCATGCCTATCATTTAGATCAGGGATCGGCAACCTTTGGCACACGGCCCGCCAGGGTAAGCCCCCTGGCAGGCCAGGCTGGTTTGTTTACCTGCCGCGTCCGCAGGTTCGGCCGATCGCGGCTCCCACTGGCCGCGGTTTGCCGCTCCAGGACAATGGGGGCTGCGGGAAGCGGCGGCCAGCACATCCCTCTGCCTGCGCCGCTTCCCGCAGCCCCCATTGGCCTGGAGCGGCAAACCATGGCCAGTGGGAGCCGCGATCGGCCGAACCTGCGGACACGGCAGGTAAACAAACCGGTCCAGCCCGCCAGGGGGCTTACCCTGGTGGGCTGCGTGCCAAAGGTTGCCGATCCCTGATTTAGATTTATACTCTTGTTAAATGATGCACACTATGCACTGTTAAACCTAGACAGGAGTTGGATGGGAGACATCTCGAAAAACCCAGGTATTTCAGGAAGAGGACTTGGTGATTCAGTGCATAGCACTCTGTTCTCTGAGCCAGTGCTCAAGCACAGAGTGCTTCTGGAGTTGTCATCTTTCAGATGAAACATAAAACTGAGCTCTTGTTTAGTTGTGGTCATTAAATAGCCTATGGCATTTTTCACAAAATAAAGGTGTTAGCCCAAGCATTCTGGCCAAACCCCAGTGTGGGCAATTCTGCCTAATTCTTCCTGCAGTGTCAGTTGCTTATTCGCCATTCTTATTTTTAATATAACTGTTCTGTAGTTTCCACAGTGCTTTACACACAGCAAATCTTTCTGGATGAAAAGCACTATGACCCCAATTCATTAAAGCACTTAAGCTCATGCTTAAGAGCTTTGCTGAACCAGGCTATATGAATCACACTTTTGGGCGTGACTGCACGGCCCACTTGCAGAGTGTTGTGCATACAAGTGTAAGGTAAAATGAGTTGAACACGAAAGGGAGTACAGGGGGAAACTACTCTGTACCAAGGGGTGATGCTACATAGCTACCAAGTTACTCCTGCTATTGAACATATTTGTGTGTTTAGACTTCCCACTTCTGATACTAATGACAGTCTAGGCTTAACAGTTCACATCACCAGACTCCTTAGCCAATTGTGACTCTGATTTCAGAGATGTATGTTGCTTCCATGGTGCTCAATGCTTTATCTGAACTCGGCTTTTTTTATTTGTTTGTTTTACTATCTAACATTTTAAGTCAGTGATTGCCAATGTGAGAGCCATACATCACATGCAATCCTTGCTTAGTAAAAATATTGCACTAGAAAGTCATATTTGTAGAGGTTAGTAGGAAGAGAGGGCAGAGCTAAGACACCCACAGAGCAAAAATAAGTGGTATGAATAAAAAGAGAATAAATTATAATAGGTGAAAAAAATCAAAAATTGGTAGACAGTACTTTGGCAAACAAAAGAGCTGCTCTGGGAATGTTACAGTTCATAGTACAAAATAGTTGTGCACTGTTCAGCCCCTCCCCTCCTCTAGGATACTTAAACCAGTGGTTATCAAACCAGGGTTCACGGAGCACCTGTGGTCTGCAGACCACTTGCTGGGTGATCCATGGAGAGCTGCCTGGTTATATGCTACTGCCTATCCTGGTTACCAGCTGCTAAATAGCCTTAAAAGAAGCTAAAAATACATTCCTAATATTATTTTTCCATGTAACAGGTGGGATGTTCAGTTTTTGATGGGGAGAAAAAAAGTGGTTTGCGTAATTCTGAATGGGAGGCAAAGTGGCCCAAGAGAGACTTTCTGTTTGCAGTATCATAGAAATGCAGGGCTGGAAGGGATCTTGAGACATCAAGTCCTGCCCTCTGTGCCTGAGGCAGGACCAAGTGAATCTAGACCATCCCTGACAAGTGTTATGATGTAATTTACCTTAAGGAAAAGCTTTAGAACCCCTGAGCTAGACCAAGATGCTCTCAGCTATCTGTGGAAATAGTTAAGATTGCTAAATTGTTGAGACTGATGTGAAAGCCACTCTGATATAGAGAAAGCATCATACTTACATTTTGGTTGGTTGGTGGCTACACATTTGTATGGGTAGTGATGAACACAGAACCACTACAGTATCTGATCTCAAATCTCTCTTTCTAATTAGATTTTGGAAATAATCAGGGTCATTCTAAAACTGTACGAACAGTGGAAGAACTTTGATGAGAGGAAAGAAATGGCTACTATTCTTAGTAAGATGCCTAAACCGAAACCACCTCCAAACAGGTACTATAATGTTTTTAATTTTCTTTTTTCATACCACTTCATATATTGTACAAATGTCTTAAACTAGACACTTCCTCTTAAAACACAAGCGAATATTTTATTGGGGCATAGTAAATATGTTTACAGTGCAGATCTTTCCATGATAGACTCACTCCTATTTATTAGTTTGGGAGCCACGAAGAAGAGTTGCTTCTGGTTGATAAGAGAGTAGTTTTAAACATTTTTTTAATGTTAGATGTTCTCATTAAATTCATTTAATGAGAACATCTTCGATTCAGTTCAGCAAATATAAGAAACTTCATTTCCATGAGTTCACTATAACTAGGAAGGCCTGACTGCTCAGAACTCTGCATGTACAATTTTATGCAAAATTTGCTCGTGTAGGTACTGTGATTGGGTGTTGTGTAAACTGACAATCTGCACATGCAAATCAAAACTAAGGTGCAAATATGTGAGCTTAATTATGGTAACTGCAGAGGTAAATTGGACGCGCAATTGGACACGGTGTTTTTGCATGTGCAGTTTTGAAAATCAGGTCCTTCAAGTGCTGGTTGTTTTGCATGCTTTCTAGTGGAATTAATTTATGTAGACCTAGTTATCAAAACAGTGAGTTTTTAATTGCATAGAGTTGGGAGAGGCAAAAAAAAAAAATGCTCTGAATTTTGTGTCTAAAGATTCTTCATTTCAAGAGGCTTTTAGTGCTTCATCTTCTAGTGCACAACAATAGTTCTTCCTTTCTTAAAAGCTAGCAATGTAACTAATATACATTTTGTATCTGAAATATGTATTTCTCCCTCCAAACAGTGAAGGAGAACAGGGTCCAAATGGAAGTCAGAATTCCAGCTATAACCAGTCTTAAGACATTCCAAAGAACTTTATTATGGACCACTTTGGATCAAGACATACTGGGAACTTATTTGTGTTCATGAAATGGACAGAAGGTTTTAATAATGTCTTTGACAAAGAACTTGAAGAATAAATGGCTTGTTTCTATCAAGCATGTTGAAAGCTTTTTCTTTAAAACTGCATGAACCCCTTTAACACTGGAACAACCGTATTAGCAAGATTTCTCAATGTAAGGCATTCAAAAGTTTTGAACAGAGTTTCAAAAGATTCACACATCCACTTCAGTATTAATAGCTGAATACTGTTTTGTTTGTTTGCTTTCAGAAAAATGTAGATTGTCATTAAAGTGAAGATTATTTTTTAAACTACAGTAACGAAGCTCGTTGATTGTAATGACCCTGTGTCTTTTATCATTTTGTTTGTTACTGAAGGAGGACAGTGTATAAATCAGGGGTCGGTAACGTTGGCACGCGGCTCGCCAGGGTAAGCACCCTGGCGGGCCGGGCCAGTTTTATTTACCTGCTGACGCAGCAGGTTCGGCCGATCGCGGCCCCCATTGGCCCGGGACGGCGAACCGCGGCCAGTGGGGGCCGCGA